GCACCTAAACGAAAGCATGCACCTATTACGAGATAAAAATGAAATACCATAAATCTACCTGAACCTTCCGCCTATAAAAATGTGTCACGAACCTCTCGAAGCATCTCTGGCTCACCTATTCCCACGAATACCAAACACCCATCTGCCACCCCGCGAGGAGGATTCCTGCTCGCAAAAACCTCATCGGAAGCTAACCCAACTTATCCCGTAACTCTGTCTCCTGGTCGGCCTGTTTTGTCTCGCGGCGGGTCGACTTGGAAATTGGCAGAACGTTTCGCGGCCGCCGTGGATCGGGCATTGATTAATGGCGCGCCTGTTGCAGCCCCGGTTACAATGCAATTTGCTTTGCACCGGGTCCGCGTGCGTATACGCTGGCCGGTGTGTCGGCGTGTGTCCGCGTGCGGAGGGATGGGTGGCTCTCGCGCTGGGCGGACGCCAGGGCGAAGCCGCGGCGCGGGACGGGGCGGAGACGATGAAAACGGGAGGGTGCATCGGCGGTCTAGCGGTATTTGCAGCGAAGTGACAAAGCCGTGACAAGAGTGACACGGTGGCATGGAACGGACGACAACTAATTAATCATCCTGCGGAACTGGACATCGCGTTCGCCGCACGTAGTAGCCGGTGCAATGAATGCACCGGCATGCACCGGCATGCACCTCGCGTCCTTTCCACTCGGACATGTGTCCCACCCACGCACACGCGCGCGTTCCGCCCGCAATTGTGCGCGGATCGGCCGTCCGCTACCCGTCTTCCTTCCACCCGTTGCTGCTTCTTGCGCTCCGGCTTCGTCTTATCTGTCTTTGTTTACCGGACACCCTCCGATCCTCGCCATTGCATTTGCCTATCGGCACTGTTGCAGCTACACCCCCGCCCTCGCTCCCGCCGTTCGCCGCTGTTGCACCCCGTGGCTGATCGTGAGTCACCGTCACGCTCGCTGTCGCTAACGCGCGCGCGTTCCATCCTGCTGCTCGCCCGATTGTCCCGATAGAAGGCGGCACGGACACGCCGGCATTAATTACCACGCGTAAGTGCTGGAAATTAGTGGGTAGGAATGTAATGGATGGGCCTCCGGTTTGCAGTTGCAGGCAGATTCCGTGATTTGTAAGGTGAGACGTTGGAATTGGCGGTGAGAGGTGGAAGACGGCGGAATCGGGATCGATTTCATCTCGCGTAAGTCCGTTTAGATCTTTGCAAATTACAGCGAAAGGGAAGAAAGAGGAAGGGAAAGGGGATGCTTGGATCTTCTCGAGAATCGAGTATCGTTTCCCTTAATGATGGTAGCGTCTATGAACGGATGTCGGTTTATCCGTGGTTCCTTTGGTCGAATGGAGAAGAGCGGCGAAAAGCTGCCAGTTTCGAACGAGTATCGAATTTTCCCGCGAGGAAAAGGCGTCCTGGCCGATCGAATTCGATCGCCGAGGCTAGACCGTCCGTGTCGAATAAATATCGCAGCAGTCCCGGGAATCAGATCGACCCGGGTGGAAGAGGACCATGTGTCTTCGGCAATTTCGTTAAACTATTGAAGTCAAGTACCCCCCGGAGTGCAACCCCTCGGAAAACGTTCTCCGGGACCTTCCCCGTCGTTCCGTTCCTTCCTTCCACTCCGCGCAGAGAGCCTCGACGAGACGATAAGCTTCTCGAGCCGGTCTTCGCTTCGCGATAGACAGCCTTCGTCGGTTTACTCGTGTACTCGTGTTATGCTCTTCCTCCGGAGTAGACAACCTCGTTCGTTCCATTTTCCTCCCATTTTTTCCCCTTTTTCTTCGTCTCTTTGCCTACCCTCTACTCTCCCGTTCATTTTCCCGGGCCATTAGTAACGGAGGAAGACATCAGCTTCCACTCAGTGATTACCGGTGGCAGATTTGCATAACACACGAGTCGCGCTCGTACGGAGGCATTTACATTTTATTCGAATCGCGGTAATCGATCGGATCGAGGTCCCCGCTCGGAATGGAATGAACGCGACGGAGGGACCCAGTCAGCCAGCACCGCCGCAGAGGGTTTGGCTGCTTTAAATAAAAATAAAGTGGCCATGGATGCGGCCCGGATGGACGCATTAGCGATTGGGGAAAGGCTACGAGTTAGTTTTAACGAGCTCGCTTGGAAACTTCTCTATTATCGGCCTTCCTCTTCCTCTCCCATCGCTTCCTCCGTTCCCGACCATTCCGCTTCTCTACCTGCGAGCGGCCTGCCTCTTTCTTCGCTCGCGACCACCCTTCGCGCGGAACGCAACTAATTAGGCATCGAGCCCCGTTTGTTGCTCGATACGCCGCTTCGCGACACCTTTCAGCGCTCCGTTTCATCAATTCCCCGCGAGTTTCTGAAAATTCCTTCAAACCACTCCTCTATTTTAACTCCGCTGCTTCCTTTTCCTTTCGTCTTCGATACACGCCATTTTATCTCTGCGTGTCTCCGCAATTCTGTCATCTCTTTCCTCTTTGAATTTCATTTCGTAGTTCTGTCTATAATTCATCTACAGCGGGAAGAAAAATGAAACGCCATCGATATTTCGTGTTTCCACTCGCGAGTAATTTAAAAGAAAAAATTCCCATTAATTCCCATTAATTTTTATCGCTGCGTTCGCCAAACATATTCGCGAGTGTACGAATAAATTTCTCGCACACTCTCGAAGCGTAAATCCCTCGATCTCGATAACACCCGCGAACCTTCGTCACCTTAGCGTAGTTACGCTCCGCAAATCTGCCCGCCTCGATCACCCCGAGCAATTGACGCGCGGGGTGCGGGAAAAACCGCACACACGAGCAGCAATTTCGAAACGGGGCTCGTGTATTTTCTGGATAATAATTTCGTCCGGAGTTCTCCCTCTTCTATTACCGACCACAAATTACCGCGCCGCGGCGGCAGCAGTTTTGATATACGATCCGTACTCCTCCGCGATCAAGCGCGATTTATACGGTGCAACAATAACGTTTACCCTCGATACCGGTCCCCCGTGTATTTTACCCAGGGACAGTTTTACCGTCGCGAGGCGCAACCAGTGCGAATCCATAACCGCGTTTTATACACTTTATCTGCATTAGCAGTCGTGCCGCCGTTCTCCAATACATTTATTACGCGATACAACTTTTATTTTACTTGTTCGCGGCGCCCGTTCTTTACGACCGACTAGATTCAGCCGCGCAAGGCGAGGCCCTTAAGGGCTCGTTTAACGGTGATGAGAGAGGCTGGCGGTTTTTCAAAAATTTACATCGCGGATACTTTTGCCCTTTATGCTCTATAAAAGGGAAGAATAGGAAGCTGGAATATCGCGTTATCGCGAAGGGCGCAGTCGAGCGTTGTAATTTTACCTTCGTTTTAATCTCGCCGCGAATAATTTACCACGACCGAGCAACGTAATCGTAATTCCGATGAAATATTAAGCGCTTCGAGATGTCGAGACGAGGCTTCTTTATTTCGCTGGGGTGGACGTTGAAACGTGGATTAAATACAGGATAGACGAAGGAGGGTAGAGAAGTATTTATCTATTTTTGTATAGTCTCCTGTCAAACCCGAATAAGGAATATCGTACTTCGAGTTTTGATAATTAACTGTCAGGTATGCGCGATGTCGTTGGCCAATGGTTATCGACTGGCGTCACCAAAATGTAACGTGTCATCTGTAATTTTCACGTGGTATATTCAGCGAGGAGTAAAACTGAATCTATTCTATGTCAATTCGTGGTAATTTAGACTCCAAAAGAATTCGTTATACCGATCCCATAAATCATATTCCATGATTATTCCTCGCTAAGTTATAGCTGTTCAAAAATGAACGCGGTATAGATTCGGTTCTGACATTGGTACATTAATACAGATCACTTATTTCTTTTATTACTCCCATGTTCCAATGAGAAACGTAACCACCGCTGACCACACCACCGTCAGCAAAAGATCCCTCCCCAAAAGCATGTAGCCATCGACACATCGAGTTACCCCAGGCCCAAAGAAGTTCCCTCGTGCGTACAAAGTCCCATCGCGCAGTAGATCCCAATAAATCACCCAGATCGTGGTATTAGACCCAAGAATGACAAATACGATTCCAGCAGATCTGCGCGATGAAGATCTCTCGTGAGCGGAATCGGGTGTCAATTAATTCGGCTAAAAAAGGACACGGTCCGTTGCATCGGGACTGAAGTATAGGTGCACGACGCATAATACCGGCGCATTTCGATAATAATCGTAATTGAAGCATTTAATGCCCGGTGGCGTCGATATTCCAATAATTCACCGGCTCCCTGTCACGACGCGCAATGGTGTGAGGTGTAAGGATCTCCCCCGGTTCGATTCCCGTGGGATCCGGTCCTTCTCGGTTCCACGGCAATGCATCACTCTGTCCGCAGCCCCGTAACTCACCGCGGCGCTCGCACACGCGTGCCCGCGCGGACAGCGCGCACGCACACGCGCGTACGCGCGTGGTCAATAAACGCGGCACACGGTCGCGCAGAGACTGCAGCGTGTGCGTGTGCACACGACGCGACATAGCGATGGAAAGACGGGGTCGAACAGATATATGGCCCGAAGTGAACGACGTATCTAATCTAACCCTTCTGGACAAGATACTCCGTGATGCTCGACGGGGGTTGCCCGACCATGCGTTAACCGTGGCCCCCGGCCCGGCCAAGTGTAATCTAAAATTACAAGAATCCACTGGCCGGACCTGCGCTCACCGGGCCATTTGTCAAGGGACTGGACAATTGCTATCGACACTTTTCCAGCGACCCACGGTGTTACGCTCCTGTGGTCGAGCTGTGTTTTCGTTCACGCTGGTTTAATAAGTCAGCCAGGAGCGAGGGTTCTTGGTAACTTCGAATAGGGTGAGAATTTTCGAGGAGTGGTGTGTGTGTGTGTGTGTAGGTGAAATACGAAGTTTATTATAATATACAGGGATTTGATAAAGAATGTGTAAAATTAGTAGCGAAGCATACACACACAGGAATACCAAGAATGTAAATGTCCGAGAAGATTGCAACACCTACTAACATGTGCTTGACATTGTTTCAGGTCTGGGACTGAGCTTGAAGAACGAGGAGCCTTGGACCCAATCGCAGAGGACCCTTCGACACAGATGACAATGGCAAGATCCTTAAAACCTGAAATCAGCTACTGACCTGCGACTGGCACGCCTCACATCATCGTTGCATTGCTATGGTTTGTTCCAGAAGTGTTAAGGCATCAGTGAGAATCGTACGTGTGGTAATAAATTATCTACGTGTTTGCACAGTGCACAATGTAGTCTGAATACTCTTAAATACATGTAATCTTTTTCACGTTTGCAGGCTGACCGACTCATTAAACCTAATGGCGTGAGCAATGGTCTTCGTTCCCCCACTACCTACTTATCCTGATTACTATTCGCTTAAATAGATGGTAAGGTGGTCATAAATCGTGGATTCTCAACAGGGAATGTTCGAGCTTGGACAAGTTACGTGTCCTTTCCATGGATACGGGTTTTTGGACCCTTGGATTATCCTGCGAGAAGGTGTCGAAGAAGAGGGGTAGTTTGGGCAAGCTCTATGGCCTCTTGTTGAAAAATGATAATAGGTCGAGTTTGAGTTCTATGAGGTTAATTTGAAACAAGAATTTTACGAAAAGAGAGCTAACCTTTGAGCAAGTTGTACGTTCCTCTTAATTAACACTAGAACTACCGAGCTATGCTAAGTAACTACATATGTTCCGCATAGATGATAATAATCACGACGGTGCTGTTGTCACAAATAGCTCTATGTAATTATACTTCCATCTGATAATATGTAAACGCCAATATCGGTGTTGTCAAAAGCAGCTGTACGTTTTCAAAAACTGTATCGATGCAAAGCAAGTCATTTTGACCTGTCTTTCCTAGTCCTAGTGTTAATTTCGAAACGATGCGAAATGTAATCGAGAAACAATACGAATAACCTGATATTTATCCCAAAGACGTCTGAAACATCTTCACGTTTCCTTATTCTAAACTCGTCCATCATCTTCGCCTTTACTTATTCGTTAATTCCAGCCCAAACTCATTGTCAGACCTCGAGCTCAACTTTCGATCAGACTGAACTCGCAATCATCCGCTCTGTCCCATAATCCTGCCGTTCTCAACTTGCGACAAACGTCACTCGCCACTCCACGGGGCCATTCATCAAACGCGCGCAAAGTTCTCGCGCGAGGAGGAAGCGCAGCGCAAAAAGCGTCGGCGCGTTCGCGTTCGTGACTCATCCTCGCAGCGTTACAAAGTTACGATCCGCTCGCGGCACGGGCTCCCGTCGCAGAGATATTCATCTCCATCAAGACGAGGCTAATAACTCGGGCGCTCCTCTCGGTTCACCGAACAGAAAGAAGCGAAACCGTAGGCCCGTCCTTTCGACTCTGCCCTTTGAACTTCCTTTCTCGCCTGCCTCTCTTGTCTCCGCGTTTTCTGCAACACCGTGTACGAGCCGGGACCATTAAGGCCGGCACAATCGCGCCGCGGGTGGTCAACTCGAGGAACACCGGAGAAGAGCCAAAGGGCTGCGACGCTCGTTGCGGGATAAGGGACGCTCCGCTTCGCCTCCATCGTCGTTAGGACTCGTGAAAGCGAAACGATCGACGCCGAGCGGAGCGACGATGCGGACACGGGCGTGACGATCAGATCGACGACGCCAGATAGCGCCCGCATCGCGACATCTGCCGGCGATCGTCGCGCCGCCCGTGACCTTTCATCGTCTTCGATAAAATCGCCCAATGGCCGCCGGCTGAACGCGTTCACGCGGGCTGCACGCGCGTGAAAATTCAATCATCTTAACCCGCGACAGGGTACCACCAATTGGGTACCGTTCTCGATCCCATCGCCCTCTGGTTTGACCTATTTTCGCGGGGCCTGATCCTATCTCGAACCAGAATTCGTGGTTACTTGGATTCTTCCGTGGAGTGGCCTTGGTTCTTCTACGCGAGGTAAGGTTTATTGTTTTCGTTATCGGTACCATTACTAGTGTCATTAGTACGAGCACTATTTCTAGAGAGGGAGACGAATTATGTCTTCTTGGACATTTGCTAAAGAAACGTTGATTAGCAGGTTATTTCCGAAATTAGACGTGTACGATTGTCTTGATATCGATTAGCTGTCATTCAATTCCCTACCGATTTGACAGTAATCCTACTTCGGCTGGTATGACCATTTTTGAATATACTATTTAAAATTCCACGTTCGATGTTATCGCTTTGGTCACGCGATATTTCCTCTTATTCCAATTCTTTGTTAAAATTCTTTTTCCTTTTTCCACCCATCGGTCATTTGATCAGTTGTGGTAGATTCAGTATTAATTTTTTCGAGGACCATTTGGTACTTAATGCTATAATTAACGTCCGAGTTAGAATTACTAATTCCAGACCCTTTGCGAGAATATGCAGCTGCTTTTACCATAATCGATATCGATTTTCAATTAATTTGAGCGACTCGATTATTCGGTACATATCGTAGATCGGCGGGTCTGGCGATTTTATTGGATTCTTGCAATTTGCCGAGCCGGTCGCGTTTCCCATTCATTATCCACTCGTAACGAAGAAAAATCCTTCGATTATCCTGCCATAACGAACGACGTTTCGTATCCTCGCTTTAATCCATCATGATCGTTGGAAATCGAAGCGCTCGCGCGGCTCCGGGCGATAACGGGTCGGCAACGAGGAGGAACGCGCCGCGTCGCGATGGTTCATTAAAATATCCATGAATACGTAATTGTCGACGCGGCGAGCGCGAGCGGCCAGATAAATCGATGGGTGGCGATCGCGAGATGGAACAATAATTCGTGCAGGTTCACACGATTAACCCGGCCACCGGGCAAAAATATTCTATTTCGCTTCCGGTTACCGCGCCATTAAAATCCTCCGTGATTACTTATCAATTTATTTACGCGCCGCCTCCCCTCGGGCTGAATCGTTTTCAATTTCCACCGTTACGGGCACCGGCTGCAAATTGTCTTAACATCCTGCCGTTAATAACGCCGACCGCGCGTAACGCGCGAAACGATCGAGCAATATGGCGGACAATTTTCCATGGCGTCGCAGTCGAAACGAAATCGAGTGGAGAATAGGAGGCGCGTTAGTCACGGGCCATTTTGCCACCAGCCGTGACCTGTACGCGCGTCGCCTTTATTTTCCACCGTTAATTCAGTCCGACTCCTCGTCATCCTCGTTGTCGTCCTTCGTCGCCGTTCTCTCGTACAGGAAGTCGGACCCCTCCTCTTCGTTCCCCCCTCTTTTATCTCTCTCATTTCTCTCTCTCTCTTCTCCCAGTGGAGCGTTTTAAAATCCGGCCCGGTTCGCGGCGGTCCGGTCACGTGCCGTCACAGGGGTGCATCATAATGCGCTCTCGTCAGCGTGCCGTTTCGCCCGTTCGTGCATCGAGATGCATACGTAATTAACGGGAAGCATTAACGGGAATTAACAGGCGGCTTAACGGCGCGGAAAAGCAACGTGGGAGTTGGGCGGCCGGAACACGGCGCGAGGCGTCTTTTCCTCTTCGCCGAGCGACATGTCCTCGATGCTCGCGATCGTCCTCGAACGATCCATTTTCGTCCTCCCGGTCGTTTAATTGGCCCGTGCTTAACGCGTACGACGCGTTCTAGTACCCGATGTACTCGTGGAACGATTAGCTGGTAATCTGGGAATAATAAAAATGGTAACTCCCGTTAGCTTGCAGTTCCTTTCTATCTTTTTAGCCTGGACTTTTTAGTCGTGTTCACTGGCGCAGGAAGTATAGCGTATTTATGAATCGGTTAATTGAATCGTAATACCAGTAGAGTATCGTACGAGGAGAGGAGGTAATTACGTATCGTCTTGTTTTATTAATTAAGACTCCGCGTAATTTATCGAAAAGGCGATTCGACTGGCGGGAATATTGAAATCGATTTAATAGGATTTTCTAAACGCCCGGGAAAAATATATCGATGATAGCGCGCGTTTACCGGTCACGAGATGGCCAATATGCACACGGACCGCTAATGCAAGCTGCCGTCAGGCTGAAATTACCCAGGTAGAAATGATCGATCCAATTAAGCACACGATGTAACGGAAACGTATAATCGTATCTATAGACGGTTAAAGACGGTCGTGCGTATAATTGGTAACGTATAGGCTCGTTCCTTGCCTCGGTTAATACCATGCAATGATAAAATCTTTAATAAAGTGCCTGTTACGCGGCAATGAATCCCCAGGTAAGTGGCATTCAATTTAAGAACGTAATAACATCTCGTAAAATATCGACGATAAATTTCTGCCTGCTTGTTCTTCGGCTAAATCTCCTTCGAATTTACGAGGGAAAAAATTCAATCGTATTACCATTGATTTAGAAGATAACTAGCCGCGGTCACGTGGCATATGGGGATCCCGAGATCGCTCGGAGATCTCAATTAGGCGAAACAGTTGTTTAACGAACGTAGTAATTACGTTTCGAGCGTTCCTTTTTCCCCCGAGATAAAACCACACACACACACCGCGACATATTTCAGCGAAGAAAATTACTTCACCCTTTTTCGCTCGCAAAACGGTCGCGACGTTACTCGACCACTCTCTGTTTCCACTTTCCCCGCCTCCCACATCCTGCCGTCCTCGTCGGCTTCGTCCTTAACGATTCCGCGACACTTCAAACGTCCTCGTCTACCCCCGTAATAATAAACCCCTCTAAAAACCAGGCACAGCGGTCTTTAGAGAAGGAGGCAGGAGAAGAAATGGTTCTAATTGCACGCGATGATTCGCGACATGAAAAGAGCCATAGAAACAACGGATGGCCGGTTCAAAGGCGTGAAACCGGGCTATCGGCGAAATGATCGAAATAATTGAACGTAGACGAAGGAAGAG